GTTAGAAAATCACAGCGCCTCCTCAAATGATATGTTTGCATTCTTTTTAAAAATACTTAGCCTTTCTTATTGCATTTTCTTATTCAGTTGCATTGGCCAGCACCTCCAGAGAAATATTCATTCATAATGGCAATGTTAGCCAGCTCTCAGATCTTGTTCCAGGATGGAATGAGAAGGATTTAGTGTTTCACGTGGAACATGATGCTGGCTTGGGTTTCATATTTAAAACTGAACAATAGGGCACCTGGGTGGCTCAGTTGGTTAAGCGACTGCCTTTGGCTCAGGTCATGATTCTGGAGTCCCGGGATCGAGTCCCACATCGGGCTCCCTGCTCAGCAGGGAGTCTGCTTCTCCCTCTGACCCTCCTCCCTCTCATGCTCTCTCTCATTCTCTCCCTCGCAAATAAATAAAATCTTAAAAAAAAAAAAAATTGCTTTTAAAAAAATAAAACTGAACAATATTAAAATATTCTCAAACCACTCCTTTTTTTTTAAACTAGGAGGTTTATTGGGTCAGATGTATCTCCTGATAGATTTGCTAACATGGAAGCCTTCTAGCGTTGTTGGGATAGCCCTCACTCTGTCATGCACATTGTTTTTTCAAAGCTCTGCTCTATTCTGTCTGCTGGTGACCTTAAAAGTTTGCTTATTTGTTTGCTTGCCAAGCAAACCCCAAGAGTCTCCAAGCTGGTTATAATGGGACCTTCCGGTAGGTTTGGTTGTGCAATAATCGCATGAAGTTGCTAGCGTAGCTTTGCATTGGCAAACCCTCTCCCTCCTTAGCGTGACTTCACGCTGGCCTCAGTTTCCCTCATCTCCAGGGAAGCCCCAACGGTCCCTGACTGGGCGGGGCTTCATCGATGTCTCACAGAACCACATGTCATTTTGTGTTTCCCCAGAAAGCTGGGCCTGAAACCAGGACTTGGGGACAGGCTGCCTGCCATATTAGAGCTGACTTTGGAAGCAGGAGCGAGGGAGGAGGGAAGGGGAGCCCCAGAAGGGGAAGCTCCCAAACAGAAGGGTTTTTTTTTTTTTAAGATTTTATTTATTTATTTGACAGAGAGAGACACAGCGAGAGAGGGAACACAAGCAGGGAGAGTGGGAGAGGGAGAAGCAGGCTTCCCACCGAGCAGGGAGCCCGACGCGGGGCTCGATCCCAGGACCCTGGGACCATGACCTGAGCCGAAGGCAGTTGCTCAACAACTGAGCCACCCAGGCGCCCCCAAATAGAAGGGTTTTGTCAAGGTCTCTGCTGTAAGCAAGGGAGGCACCAGCGGCACTTCTCAGAAGCTGCGGAGGTTCCCTCAGCGGGACGGGGGGCCGGCTGGTGGCACTGAGCGTCGCCCCTCCCAGCCTCCCACGCAGCCCCTGGGACTGTGCACCGGATGGAGAGTGGCCCCTGGAGCTGACTCCTCCCCTCCTCGGGCTGCACTGGCAGGTGCAGGAGGCCTGGAGAAGTCTCTAGGACTTGGAAGCAGGCCTCAAGGGCAGAGTCCTGGCCCCTCTCCTCCTGCTCCCTGCTCCCTGCTCCTCCAGCCCAGGAAGAAAAGCTCCTGACCAGCCCCTCTTGTGGTCTCAGATTCCAGGAGGAGCAAACTCGCCTTCCGCTCTCCCGCTGTTAGCAGCCCCGTCTCTTGTGACCAGACATCAAGCACTTCTTCTCAGGAAGCTTTCAAAACAAATCCGTGGAAAATAAATTCATGGAAATTAATGGAGAGTAGTAAAACGTCTTGTGGAGATACAGAAGGGCAATGTGGGAGGCGCCTGCAGAGGAGTTGAGAGATTTGCAAGATCTGGGAGTATTTATAGTATCGAGTTTGTGTCTGAGCTAGAAGTTGTTATACCATTATGGAGAAATGAGTGAATTATCCAATATTTGATGCGCGGGGTAACACGAGGGAAGGGACCTCTTGCTGTAGCGGGAAACATGTAGAAAAACATTGCAAAAACATGGGGACCTGGCAGGGATGGGGGAATGAGGCACACTTGTTGGCTGGAGCATCTACCTTTACCTGGCTCGGACTCCATGTCCTTGGGCAAACCCCATCCCTCCTGCACCCCAGCTTCCCACCTGGAAGCTGGAGGGTGGGCTTGGGTTACTCCCACTTGGGCAGCCCTGGCATACCGCTCTAAAGAAGTGCTGGCCTCCAGGTCCCAGACCCAGGAGCTGCTCTGGAGACAGGCCTGTTGCTGCAAGCCACGAGCATCTGGGTTAATCTAAGCCACAAAATATTTATAATGTTTTTCCCAGGACAGAGGATTTGGTTCTGTTTCGCCTCCCTTAACGGTACGGTGTCCCAGTTTCTAGTACTCTGTAAAATAGGTACTCTTTCTGGGAAGTCCTGGGGCGCTCTGTGCTCAGTGGACAGCCCATAAAGGCTGTGACCAATGGCTGATTGCTTCAGGTTTTATAGGAAAGAAGAGCTCATCAAATGGAAACCAGATGCCTTCCTGCAAGCTCATTCCAACATCATCATATGTGTTTGTGGCGGGAAGAGGGGGGGACCCAGGAAAAGGCAGCTTACAGAAACAAAAACAGGGAGGTCTGAAATGAAGAAGCAAAAAAGATGATTTCCCTTTCCCTACACTGAAACTAAAGCAAGATGCCTTTATGATACGGCCCACCACAGACAAGACAGCTGACAGGCTCCCCGAGCCACGTGAAGGCCCCGACCGCAGCAGGGACAGGCTGTCAGGGGTGAAGGTGTGCCCCGAAACCTGAAATCGCACCCGATGAGCCAGAAGGGGTTTGACAAGGTGCTGTTGCAGGGTCCTCAGTCCTGAGCCTTTCACAAGTCGCTCTTGACTTGAGGGATGTTGCCTCAAAGCACAAGGCTGAACTGGATGTCCCTAAAGGGACACAGAGAAACGGGATGTAGCAGGATGCGTCCTTAACACGTCAGAAGATGGTGCTCCCACGGAAGGCTGTTGCCGGGCAACAAACAGATCCGAGGACTGGAGGGGTGGCCAAGGGGCGCCCCCTTGGGTGGACAGGCTGGTGAGGCCTGCGTCCCTGGGGAAGTGTTTCTTGAAGACAGCAGAATGCTTTTGGCACTTGAGTCCTCTGTGGGGACCCCAGAAATGTGTTCACAACTTCAGTATAGCCAGCTGCCCCCTCTGCTGTCCTCAGGGTGTCCTAGAAATCTGGGGAGGAGCGTTTGGAGGCTGGGGATCTGGTTGGAGGCGGTGACATGTTGAGGACTTCTCTTTGAGTTAGAATTGCAGGCAAACACACCGCTTTGTTTAGATGACACAATTTGTTTGGGGTCACAGGGTCTGATGTAAGTTATGGGAAGATAAAGCCCCCCCCCCCATAAGCCACATCTTGCATCTGCCACTGACAAACCCTGAGAACATGGGAACATTCTGCTGACTTACCCTCTTCCCCTGCCGCAGGATCCCCTGTTTCCATGTCCAAGAAATTATGCTTGTTGGATCCTGCCAGGGCCTTGTTCTTCCCGCTTAGGGATTATTGTTATTTGACTGATGGCCTCCTTTACTCACTCAACAAACATTTTATGAAGTCTCATGCTTAAGGAAGCAGAGGAGAGAAAGAAGTTTGCATCTGGCGGTTGCCCTTGAGGACTTCCAGGATTTGCTCCACGTGTGTCCTGAAATACTTAGGACCCAAACACAACTTTTTTTTTTTTTTATCCTAAGTGCTTTTAAAGACTTCTTTGAAATGTGGGACAATTATGCAAGCAGGGGGAAAAAAAATATCTAGAGCAAATATTTAACTTTGCCTTTGGTGTGTTGAAGTCACTGGCCCATGCAAATCTCTCAAGCATGTTCGGTAAGATTGACTTAAAAAAGTATGTATATCCTAATACATTATAAATATATAAAAATAAAAATGTATTAATAGACTCTCCCTTTTTTTCCTGGGGAGACACAGAGTGGGTTTTGTATAATGGAAGCCTTCCTATACCGGAAGCATGTTCTACCTCACAGCCTGGAGGGTGGTGTTTGTGCCCCCAACACCGTCCCCTCTGCCCCCCCCAACCCCCCAAATCACACTGCAGATCTTGGGCAGGAATTGCTTTCCCTTCTTCCAGAACATTGGAAAACGCAGGACACAGAAACCTCCGTAACTGGGGTAATTAGCAGTGGATTAGCAGGGGCTTGAGAAGTTATTAGCCAATTGCTCATGCATCAGGTTGGGAGGAGTAAATCCACCGCATCACAGCTGGGAGCTGGGGGCCAGGGCTCATGACAACCCCCCTTGGGTTTTGGCAAACCTGGCAATCCCCAAGCCCTGGATAATAACAGGATTCCTGGGCGTCCCCGGAGGCTGCCTTTTGCCTCTCGGATTCATCTGAGCTTGGCTTCTAGTCCCCTACCCTCACCCCGAATCGTTCCTTGGCTGGGAGGGCAGTGGGTCGCTGGAAGGAAGGCGCCCAGGTGGAAGGTGGCCTGGGAGGCAGATGGCGGCGTACCGCCCAGGCACAAAGTTTTCGTCTGCTCTGCAAACAGGGTGCGGTGCGGTCGGCCTCAGCATTTCTGAATCCTATTAACAGAAAAGACTCTGGGGCGGGAGCCGGCTGCGCTCGGGATAATCCCGCAGAGCGAACGGGGCTTTGCAAAATTAAAGGACTTTCCGGTCCCAGGGCTAGCTCCGGGAAGGGGGGCGGCGAGCCACGCAGCCCGGGGCGGGGCGGGGCGGCGGGCGGAGGCGGCCCCGGGCGCCCCGTCTCCCGGGGTTGCCACAGCAGACCCCGCGCGCCGCGTCCGAGCCGCCGCCGGAGCCCGAGCGGCCGGGGCAGGTGCGGGGGCGCGGCGGCCCTGGGCGCGGGAGAGGCCGGGGCGGGCCGCGCACGCGGGTCCCGGGCCGCGCGCGCCCTTCGGCGGCGAGACGACCCCTCCCCCCCGCGCCGGGCCGAGGGGAGGGACCGCCGGGCGCCCCCGCGAGGAGCCCGGCGCCCCGGCCGCAGCGCGAGGCGGGGCCGCGGCGCCCCCCCGCCCCCCCCGCCCCCTGAGCGGCCGCGGCTCCGGCGACTCCGGCGTCCGGCCGGGCTGGGCGCGGCGCCGCTCGGGTCCCCGCGGCGGAGCCAGGTGCGCGCGGACGTCGGCCCTCCCGGGGGCTCTCACCCCGCCCGACTCCCGAGCGGCCGCCGGAGCGAGGTAAGGCGGCGGCGGGGGCCGCGGCGAGCTGCGGGCGCGGGGCGGGGGTGGCCCGGAACGACAGTAGGGGGCCCCCGGGCCCCCGACCCTGCTCACCGGCTGCATTTTGGGGGCGTCTGGCTTACAGGAACACCAACGACCGGGTAAGCGCAGTACTGAACCCACTGGAGCGGGGGAGGGGGTGGCGAAAAGGGTTCCGCGCGTCCGGGTGGGGGTCGCTTCTCTGTGAAGACACCGCCCCGCCCCGGCTTCCTTGGGAGTAGGGGCAGGTTTAAGACGCTTTGGAAGAGGCGTGGGCGCGGAGCGCAGGAGTACCTTTTTGGCGCCCCTGGTGCACGAAGCCCCTCACCCCCAGCGCGCCCCGCGCCTCCCACTGGGGCCACACAGACCTACCTCCACCGCCTGCCCCGGGTCTGGTTGCCCTCGGTCGCCACCCGCCGGCCTGGGGACTTGGGTCCGTAGGCTTGGCGGAGGAGCGGGCTCGGGGCCGCCAGGGGGCGCGCGGGGGGCGGGGACCCAAGCCGCGGTCGCAGGGTCCCCAGAGACCCTGCAGCGGTCACCCTGCCCCGAGCCAGCTCACAGAGCCCCCATCCAGGTGCGCGCGCTGGAGCAGCGGGCTCCGGGAGGCCGGAGCCGGCGCACCCGGCGCAGGCCCGGGGGCTCGCGGGTCGGGCCCCCCGGCCCCGGGGTCGCGCAGTGCCGGCGCCTGGTGCCCAGCCTCTGCCCGCTGCGCGCCCCGGCCGGGGTCGGTGTGTGTGTGGGGGGGACCGGGCTGGTGCAGGTCCGCCGCCGCCGCCCGTGAATTATGCAGGAGGCTGGCACCGGTGCGCTCGAGTTGCTCAAGTTTCCCTGGCAACTTTCGCCCGGGCATCCCTCCTCCGGGTGGCCGGGCAGCTCCGCCCGCGCAGCCCGCGCGGCCCAGGTGCCTCCGCAGGGCTGCGGGGGAGCGGGGCGCGCCAGGAGACACCGACCGCTCACTCGCCACCGGAGCTGGGCCTCTGGATTGCGCAAGCAGGTGCGACCCCCGTGGAGGACCTCGCCCGGGATCGGAGGGTGTGGGGATCGGGGTGGCCCTCGCCGCCGTCCGGGTTCGGAGGGTGCCGCTCGGCAGTAGATAGACCCCGCCGCCTGGGTTCGGAGGGCGCGGGGGCCGGGGTGGACCTCCCCGTCCGGGTTCGGAGAGCGTAGGGGCCGGGGTGGACCTCGCCGCCCGGGTTCGGAGGGTGCGGGGGCCGGGGTGGACCTCCCCGTCCGGGTTCGGCGGGTGCGGCTCGGCAGTAGATAGACCTCGCCGCCTGGGTTCGGAGGGCGCGGGGGCCGGGGTGGACCTCCCCGTCCGGGTTCGGAGAGCGTAGGGGCCGGGGTGGACCTCGCCGCCCGGGTTCGGAGGGCGCGGGGGCCGGGGTGGACCTCCCCGTCCCGGTTCGGAGAGCGTAGGGGCCGGGGTGGACCTCCCCGTCCGGGTTCGGAGAGCGTAGGGGCCGGGGTGGACCTCGCCGCCGGGGTTCGGAGGGTGCGGCCCCTCGGTGGACCAGGTCGCGCGGGTTCCACCGCTCCGCGCGGGATTCGAGGGCGGGCACGCAGGCGAGGTTTGTGTTTCCATGGGGCTGGGGGCGTCCAAAGGGGGCGAGGCCGGTGCTCTTGGCCATGGAGTTCGTGGAGGAGCCTTTAAAGCGACCCTGGGCGGCTGGAAGGAAGGCGCTTGGGCCGCTTAGGTCGCGGTACTTGGGGGCCTGGTGGGCCGGCAGCTGTGGGCACGGTCCTGGGAGTCCTCAGAGGCCTTCCAGAAATGAAGTGGTTTCCACATGGAAATTGGAGGTAGTAAATTGGATGGTTTGGTGACCTCTTTTTTGTTCGAAACTCAAGTTCGAATTAATGAGGTCAGTTCTCTAATTAAATTAAGCTCCCAAGAATTAGAGAGGTAATTTCGGAAGCCCTCCGTTGCTGGCGGTGCTTTGATCTCTACCTGGGACTTGCCCCTCGACCCTGCCGCTGGCGCCACCCGGAGTGGCTGTCGCCCCTGGATTCAGTCCCGATCCAGGTGCCCTGCTGGATCTGGGGGTTTTGGCATGTCCAGAACCCCCCCCGGGGGGGGGGCGACTGTATTTGAGACCCCAGTTGTCACACCGCTGGGAGCGGTAACAAGGCTGCCATCGCCTGGAGAGTCATGCCCACGGGGGGTTCCATGGTCATGGGGGGGGCGGTGAAGTCGAGATGGCCTTGCTGGGGGCTGTTGATGAGCGGCAGGTAGAGTTTTGCCCCCCAGGTGCTGGTATCCTTAAGGAGGCCAGAGGGAGACCCTTGTCTGAGTAAGAATTAGGCTGTCCTAACAGTGGCTGGGTGTAAGTCTGCAGGGGAAGCGGGTGCCCTCACCCTGCTGAGGAATTTCTGGTTTTCCAAGGAGGAATCGGGTGAAAAGGCAGGGGCTCCTTTGGGCTGGTAGGGAAGGAGCTGCGACTGTTCAAGTATCAACAGGAGTGCTTGATGAATAAGGTGATTTTGCCTAAGAAGGCAGCTCCCAGTGGGCATTGTTGACAGCGCTGGGCTGCTTTGAACAAATCGGATCCCGTTTGGGGAAGGGGGCGGGGGAATACTCCCGCCTACTCTTGGCCAGTGTGATTTGCTTGAGAAAGCCCTAATCGTATTCAGGAAAGTTTCCTAGGGGCTGTCGTTAAGTTCTTGAGCTGGTTCTTGGGCCTGTGTGCAGGGCGCCCCCCAGCTGATCTGTAGGGGTCGCCTTCTGCAGGTGACCTAGTCCGGGCCCCTGGAGGGCCCTATCTGGAGGGAGCCCTGGCCATCCAGGGTCAAGGGTCAGATGTGAGGAATGCCACCAGCAGGAGATAAAGCAGTCCTCAGATAGCATCACAATTTATTCCATCCGTGGTGGGGGAACAAGGTGGAAGAAAAAGCTGGAGACTAAGAAAAACATGCAGGAGTTGACCGATATGCGAGAAAACCCTAGGAAAAACGGACTTTTGTAGAAAAGTGATTCTTTATTTTACTGGCGTTGTTCGTGACTCTGTCAGAGCCCTAATTTATAGAGTTCTGGTGTCCTTGTCATCTCGGGTGAGTAATGGGGGCTTTCCAGAATGGGGCTCAGTTTTGGGAGTTGAGTTGCTAAGGAGGCCAAGATCTGCCTCCTGCTCCGTGGGAAGCCTGGGTGTGAAGCCCCCATCTGCGTCCTAGCCCCTTGACCCCTGAACTCTCATTTCTCAGGAACTCCCGGCTCCTGCTGTGTAAACTGCAGGCCCAGCCCCACCGGAGGCTGGCCTAGCTGAGAACCCCTCAGTGGGGAGCCCGCAGCAGGGAGGGGTGTGGCCGGGAAAGCCCGGAGGAAATGTTCGGTTACAGCCTCCCCTGGAGCCTCCAATTGTCCTGAGGCCCGGGGTGGGGTGGGGGGGGGCATTTATGATCTTCCTTACTCAAAGTGATCTCCACAAACCTACCGAATTCTCTGCTTTGACCGAGGAGGTGGGGAGGAAAGTGCCCCAAACAAAAGCCAGTTTAAAAAAAAATCTTTGGAGTCCCCAGCCCTTCACCCGCGTGCAGGGCTTATAGCCTGGAGCCCCAAGCCGCGTGACTCTTGTGGGGCCTGCCCTTCTCTGGTGGTCTGACGTGATCTAGGGTATATCAGGTTTTCTCTGCGTATTGCGTCGTCGGAGGACCTGCCCTGAGCACCAGGCTGGGAGCTGGCCACAGGGGCTGCCCCACCCCCACCCCGGGAGCTTCCAGGCGAGCGGGGGGAGGGAAGGGGTGGGCCACTTCGTGCACAGTGGGACAGGGGTTGTGATGACCTTTGGGTGCTGTAGGGCGCAGAGAGGGTCCGCAGCCCAGTCTGGGAGAGGAGGGGGATGGGGCATATAGAAGCACCTGTAGGAGGTCTGGGCCGCACAGCTAGGGAGTGGGGCAGCTGGGACTGCAAGCAGCCTGGGAGAGCCAGCCCAGCCCTTGGTCCCCTGTGCTCGCCACATGCACGTGGTGAGCCAGCAGCTGACCCAGCAGGAAAATTCATCTGGTTAGACAATTACTCTTCTTGTAACTGCTTTCGGGAAAGAGCTACAGTAGGCGAATGAAAACCAGAGTTCTGATCAGACTTCTTGATGTGATAGGCCCTTTTTTTCCTTTGGAAGCAGATTCAAGGAATGTTTTGGAGTGACTGTCATTGTCTCAAGTGGGAATCCCGAGGTCAGTCTTTGGGGGATGAATTAGCATCTGGCATGAGGCTTCCTACCCCCTCAACGGGTTTCCAGTCTTAATGGGGGAAGGGGAAGGTGAGCCCAGTACTGGGGTGGATCCGAGAGCCTGCCCAGAGCTCAGGGTCGGGCGGGACCCTGGGTGTGCAGCTGAGGCCCGTGTCTCTTTCTGGGAGACAAGCCCATCAAAGCCTGCGGGGCTGCTAGGAGTTTGCGTTCAGCCGCAGTGGAGAGCAGGGCTCCCGGTGATTGGCTGCCAGATGTCAGTGCAGGGAAGGGGTGGGGCCTGCGCCCAGTGACCCACTGGGACAGTGTTGGAAAATTGTCCTTGTGGGGCTTGCCAAGGACTCTCAGGGTGGCTCGGTGAGAGGTGTGTGTGTTGAATTAGGCCATGAGCGCCTAATGTGAAAGCTGCAGATTTCAAATGCTGGGCCGCAGGGGCAGGGGGCTCCTGGCCATTACCCCGGAAATTCCGGTTGTGGCCAGAGAGGCAGGACTGGAGCCCCTGGAGGGTCTGAACCCTCAGGAGTCCTGGGAGCACACTCTGAGCAGTGCTCAAGGTTTTGGCGGGCAGGATGGTCAGCAAGTCCGGAGCTGGTCGCTGAGGAGACTCACCGGGAGGCATCCATTAGGTGGATAATCATTGCAGACCTGCAGAGGCCGCCCCTGGCAGGGCAGGTTTCTTCAAAGAGATTTTTTTTTTTTTTTGCCTCTCAGCTCCCTAAAAGCATTGTTTTTATAAACTCTGTGTCCCCTTTGGTGTTTCCTGCACCATTCTGTGCCCCAAAGCTGACCAGATCTCCCCCT